TCATGGTAAAAAACTTCTGACAGTATTAATTTAATCATATAGTTATTTTTATACATAGTTTTTTTTTTTATTCGTAATGATTTAGTTAAAGTTTAAAATTTCGATAAATTTTACGATATCACAACAAAAATTGGCCAATCAAAATGAAAGCCCTCTATGCTTCCGGGGGTAAATCTACCCGGTTATTACTCGAGTGAATCTATCCGGGTAGCTCTCTAAGTTATTACAAATTTTATTTTTTATAATCTTCCATAGTCACGTGATGTCAGTTTTAGGCTTTTTGCACCACACAAAGTTTAGAATATTCTCTGTACGAATAAAAAAGGTTGATACAAATAGCTACTATTCTTGATATAAAAAAGCGATGTAAAAATAAATATCTAAGAAATAAAATATTTTTATTCTAGCAAAACTAACCATTTTTAATATTAATTTCTCCCGCTTCTCTTTAAAATCTCAACACCTTCGAAAGCCGTAATGTCCGGTAAGTCCAAAATCTTACCTTCCAAATCACCAGCTTTGTCTTTATCATTTCGAACGGGTTTATCTAAAAATTCAACTTTAACTAAATACCCCAAATAAATTCCTATAAGCTTCTCATCAATCACCATGCATTCCTGATCAACAATATCTCTAGTATTCCTATCATCTAATTCTGGTGCCTTAGTACTGGTCGGCAAATCATCCAATACAAAATGAAGCAAAGGATATAAAGCATTATCTTGTTGTTGTAATGTAAACTCCATTAGTTTATTTCTCCAAACTATATATTCTGTTTTTGTAACATTGTAACCGTAGAGAATCAATGAATTGAACAGATCATTAAATCTGAATGACGGATTGTTTGGATGTGTTATGTGGAAAATACCACGGTCGGAAGCTATGGATGACAATGATATCTTTGTTACACAATTTGCAACATAGTCCACAGGACACATGTTAATCGTATTATGGATTGTAGGAACCAGATTCAGTTGAATACAGCCTTTTATTAGACGCCAAATGAAGTCATCTGTGTTTGTTACTAATAAATAAAAAGTATAGTTTTAGTAAATGATCATAGAGATATTTGTGAAAATTAATTTCACAAATTCAACACCAATTTCGCCCATGGTAAAATTATTTCACCAGCATTTTTAGATAATCATTAGAAAACATAATACAAAACATACCACCAGTTTTGCTATCCCCAACAATATATCCCGGTCTTACAATACAAGCATTCAATCCTCTTTTCTTAGCTTCCATAATCAACTTC